GGTCTTTGGGTGTCAGTTGTCAGCTAAAATTTAAGCCAGTTGTCAGTTGTCAGTACGATATTTTGCAAGCTGTCAGTAGTCAGTTACTGCAAAATGCTGACTCATCATTTTCTTATCATTTCTCAGTTGTCAGTTAGGATATTTTGTCAGTTGTCAGTCAAAAATTCAGGCAAATGTTGATAGTCAGTTAACCCCATTCAGACCCTCATAAAATACATGTATTTACAAAATTAAAAACTATGCGATCGGAAGATGCATTGCAGGAAAAAAGCTTTTCTTAAAACGCATGCATCGTCTTACAAGGAAACAGTGTCAGTCTATTTCCTGCTTTATTGCAACTATGCTAATTGCAGCTATGTTCATTGGCCCGAGACGGTGGTATTAAATGATTAAAGCGTGAATCCGGCTGTCCAAATTTGTCAAATGTTTTTGCACACAAGCCATCACGTATTCCGTGTAAGAAAGAACATTTGGCTTGGTCTAGACCGTCCTAAACGCAGCATAGTTAAAATATGGGCGCACAATAGAATTGTACACAGAAAGAAGTATATCCTTATAAACAAATATAGTTTTAATTAAACGTTGGAGAGCATATATTCCTGCCTGAAGTTACTTTTTTTAAATATTTTCTGTGTTACTTTTCCATGAAAGATGCTGGTCAACTTGTAGTCCAAGGGTTTCGCATTCATGTACTTGTTTAGTACGTTTGCTTTCTACGAAAACATTTTGGTGTGCATTTGGATAATTTGCTAACATTGGTTTTAACCCGATTAATATAAATTCAGTTTTCGTAACATATGTTGGCAATTAACCATCTTCGAAGGTTTTCTAGATCAGATTTCATTACAAATTCAACATCACTAATTGATTCTCCTGTAGCTGTTAAATTTGTATTTAGATATATAATAATTTATATATAATAAAATATAAAGTAGTAGCCCTAAAATAGAGCCTTGGGGCACACCGCATTTGATATATTAAACGTTCAGATGAGATGGATCCATTTGGCATTTTTGGGTGCGATATGATGCGTATTTTAAAAGGTACAAATTTTAGAAAGATATTGGACCTTGCTTGCAAGTTTCTGTCATTTCATAGAGGGTAATATAGGGTGAGACCTAAATGATTCTAAAACAAAATACAAAGCTTTCACCCAGCCAACAAGGGCACACTATATACAATTTTATGTAAACATTGATCATATTTCACTGAGGAAACAATCGACTGCAAATAAATACGCTCCTATAAATACCCAAACTAGAGGATTTATTATAGAGAATATCGAGCTAAATTCGCTGTTCATTAATGTACTTATTTATTCTTCATTGAACATGTTCAGTTCAACAAAGTCGGAAAATCGACCATACAGTACTTTACACGAACAGTGGTTATTTTATAATCTTTCACAAATATCAAGTAATATCCAGTCATGATTCTGGTTAAACAAATGTTCTGCCGAGTACAACATTCAACAGCAATTTTCTGAGGATTCTACCTTTTCTTGTTGATATAAAACTAAACCCAGGCTGTGTCGTTGAGTGAGCTTCGAGAGTAACATCTATATTGTCTACTAACGTTTAAGAATTTAATTTCAAACGTCCAGCCAGGCCTTATTAACAACTTCGTCCCTTAAATAAAAACTTCGTTTCATTGTAGTCCTTTGTGTTGCTGCTTTATTCTCACTCCTTGTATTGTTTTGAACTCGTTTAGCAACTCGAACGCCACATTTGCGTTCCCTACCCCCATAAGTCCCAAATGTTATCTCCCAAAATCTGGGAGACACGTGACCAATCTGGACCCGGTTCTTCCTCCAGCAAGGAGTGTAGTGAAAAGAGCCTGGGTACGAGGTTGATTCATACTGAGTCAATTCTGACTTAGCATTCTTAATATAGTGTTGTAAGTTGTAATTAGAAGTGTCTATTTTGCTGGCTAAATCGGGTCCAATACTTGAAAAGAATTCATTGAAACCTTCTGCAAAGTCTTCGGAGTTTGTTCGATTATTTTCTCCTATATTACGTTCATTCGCTATTGTTGGCTTGTTTTGTCGGCCCAAGATCATAGGCTGTTTATTGACTTCTAAGTTTTTTTAGGGTTGTGACCAGCAATTTGAAAAAGTAATCTTGTTTTGTTTTGTTTTCTTTAATGCTATGTTTACTTTATTTCTTGAAATCTTATAATTTGATCAATCTGATTCTAGGTTTGTAATAATAGCTTTCCTTTTCAAATTATCTCTTGTGTGTATTAGCTTAATGTTAAAATATCGCTTGTAATCCAAGGGATTTTATTGGATCTAATTTCCCTTTTCTGTATTGGTGCATGTTTATCTACGACCTCTAAAAAAAGCTGTTTCCAAATTTCCCACGTATCGTTACTCTCAAGTAAATATATAATAAACGGGAAAGCGTTTATTACCGGTGTATGAAACACCGAAAAGTGTGTGTGTGAAAAACGAGGCGCTAGCCGAGTTTTTTACACACACTTTGAGGTGTTGCTTCTCAAACGAACTTGTATTTAGCGAGAAATTCAACGCGAAAGTTGAGTTAATTTATGGACGTTTATTACAATCGTATCAAGACAACGATATGGTGGTGATTTCTTTTAATGTTCGGCTCATGAATTATTAATGATTTACGAATGTTGATTTGATAAATCCTTTAGAAAGTGTTCCTCATTAAAATTTTTCATGTTCTTATTTCAATAATATTTGCTTTTTGTCTAGCTATGACACGAATTTTCAAAATTGCGAAAACAAAACTAGTATTATACAGGATGTATGAAAAAAAGGTAATCGAACATCAGCGCGCTATTGTAGGTGAACTCACTCGGCGTATGAACAAACGTTTTATATTCGGAATGACTAAGCTTTTAGCCATTGAATGACATGTTTTTCATGCCAAGTGGAGAAAAAATAAGCAGTGCCGTAGCAAGCTCGTTAATGGGGAGGCAGATATTCATATATTCGTGTTCACAGACCATAAAAACAATCGATTTCAAAAGAAATTAATAACGCAGAACACGAATATATGAATATCAGCCCCCCCCAATTATCGAGCTTGCTACGGCACTGAAAATAAGCAAGTACGAGTCCGATAAAAAAGGTTAGTGAGAATCGCATATTTTCACCTCTGTGCCTAATTAAAGCAGTGCATAACAAAAGAGAAAGTAATTAATCACGAACTTGTCGCAGCTTGGCTAAGATTTATTCCTACTTAATAATAATTATGAATATGTGCGTAGTTTATTCAAGTGAAATTCATCAACTTAAGTCCTAAAGGGGGTTAATTTTCAATGGTTTTAGACCCAATTCTCAACGGTGAAAATACGCGATTCTGACTAACATTTTTTATCGGATTTGTATTTGCTCAATTGTTATCCATTTGACATGAAGAACATATCATTGAACAGCTAAAAAGCCTGATCTTTCCGAAGATGAAAAAATCTCGGCCATGCGCATTTAGATGCAATAGCGCGCTTAAGTTCGATCACCTCTATATAAGCATCTATTTGTTTACCTTTTGCAGTGCGTGAGAAATGTGCGAGTCACGCTTAGCGTGAGTCACACTGTGAGTCTGTGCGTGAGTCACGCCCGTTGGGCTCTGACAGCGCGTCACACCGTGAGTCACACCGGCTCGACCAATCAGCTCGCGGCGGTATGTCTTTGAACGGTGTAATGTAATGAAGTAGTAAGGCCGTTGGACATCATGAGTGTAAGTGTGTAACTGCAGTGCATTTGTAATTGTGCATGTGTGTAACGGTGCATGTATCACTGTGTAAGAGCCAGTACAACAGCCCTTAATGTCATGTTGAAATGACATATCAACAACACACATAATATCATTTTTATTGGAACAACGCTTCATAAATATCAGTAATATTCTACCTACACCTAATATAAAACAGCGTACAAGCAAAGCATTTGCTAATGAAAGCAATAATATATATCGACAATTAGAACAGACTTGTCTTGAATCTTACCAATTCTCATCATATGTGTCTTGCTGTCTTCTTATATAAAGTGAAAGCACGGATTTTCCCATAATATGTAATAAGGAAGTAAAAACATTACTTCTTTAAAGGGACAGCTGAGTAAGTACTTGAGGTGGTAAGATAATTCTGTAACTTTTCATTCAAGAATGGGAATGGTTCTGAATTCAAAACCTCTCTATAAACCATTTAGCACCACCTTATTAGTCAGTCAAAGTGACAAAAAGTGCTTTTCTCTACCGTAGATTGGACCACCGTTGAAGTACTTTTCACCGCAGAAGTCTTTCATGCTTGGGAAAGGTTCAATGGGTAAAGTTGTTTTTGTTGGTATCATGGAAGATGGTGCTGAAGTGGCTGTAAAGAGGATGTTGAATCAGCTGTTTGACCATACAGCTCAAAACGAGTTAGAAATTCTGAGTCGAATTGATGCAAGCAAGTCACCATTTATTGTAAGCTATCGAACAGTTTTAAAAGACGCGACCTTTCTGTATCTAGTTGTAGATCTCTGTGAAGAAACATTGAAGGAGCACGTTTGTACTCAAAGTTTGGAATATCTACAAGATCATGGTCCAAGAATGATCAAAGAAATCTTGAACGGAATTGAATTTCTTCACAGTCAAGGAATTTTACACAGAGATCTCAAACCATCAAATGTCTTGGTTGATCTCGAAGGTCACATGAGATTGGCAGACTTCGGAATAAGTCGTATTTTGAATGAAGAAGAAACCACAGTTCGTACAGGTGCGAAGGGAACCCGAGACTGGATGCCCGCCGAAGTAATTGAAGTAGTAGATAAAGAAGAGAAAGGACGTTTTAAAAAGAAATCTGATGTTCAAGTCGCAGGTATGATCGCTTTCTTTATTTCAACTAAAGGTGAGCATCCTTTTGGTCCTGTGCTTGAACGAATGGCAAACATTTCGAAAGGAAATCCTGTTAACTTGCACATGCTCCGCGATCTTCAAGTTCGAAAGTTTATTTCTTGGTTGATCAGTCATAACATTGATGATAGACCTTATGCTCATGAGGCGTTGGCGTATCCCTTTATGGTCCATGTGGAAAAGTCCCTTGCGAAAATTTCACGTAAGTTTTACGTATAGGTGAATGAATTTTCATGATCAATTTTAATTGTTCCAATGTAAAATTAATTTTCACATATGAAGCCTTACGTTCACATTTGAAAGAATAATTATGTGAAACTCAAATTGGATGTCTAAAGATTCTGAATTTGTTATACGAAATGAGCAATTTAACATTTCAACTGTTCCAGTTCAACCAAAAAATTCACATGTGAAATGATATGTGAAACTTCCATCAGGAATATGAAGTGTTTCCCAAATTAATGAAACATTGTAGTAGTGGGATGAACAAAGTACGATCTGGAAACATTAACCATAGTGTGCAATAGTATTCATTGTTATGTACAATTTGAAACACGGGTAGGAGTGCTTTATTAGATATAAAACACGAGAGCGCAGCTCCACTAGTGTTTTATATCTGATAGAGCACTGACTGCGAGTGTTTTATATGGCTTAAAAAACTACCCATCTGATGAGTTCATTGGCGAAGTAATTTTAAGAATAAACGTTGTCTAAGCCGAGCAAATCAAAGCTAAAGTTTATGTAAATGAACATGATTTTTTATCACATATAAAACAACCGACACGGCAGTGATTTCTGTTGTCTTTTTCTCATGAATTATTAATGAGTTTTTTAAGATGCATATGTGAGTGGTTCAAGTAAAAATGACACGTTATGCACGGCATACGGAAAATGACTTTTTTACTATTTCATAACCAACATAATGTCAACTATTAAAAATGCTAAATGCGCGACCAGGATTCATAATAAAGTTTCTGAAATGTGCTCTGATCGTAAAATTTCTGAAAAAAAGTTCTCTGATTGAGTTAAAAAAGTTATTTCCGTATGCTGTGCATAACATTCCATTTTTACTTGAACCGCTTACACAACCTCGTTCGGCCGCTCACATATATATAGATTTGTAAATTTATATCTCTTATATACTTATATTCGAACAGTACCTGTAAATAGGTTATATTTATTTGAATTAAATAAATATAAGCCGGGAAAATCAAAGTTAAAGTTTATGTAAATAAACACGATTTTTTATCACATATAAAACCACTGACACAGTCGTGATTTCCTTTGTATTTTCCTCATGAACATGATATTTCAATTTCATTAATAAGTTTATGGATTGACTTGATTTTAATTTTGATCAAAAATTACCTTCTAGTTATGCGGAGTACCAAAACTAGAATAGGCGTATCCTTCCTTAATTATTTTGAACGTTTCCAATTTATGCCAAATAAAAAAATAATTTGGTTAGCGTCACCGCCTGCCTCTCGATTTCTGCCGCCTCTGAATTTTTTTTTATGTAAATCTCTTCGTTTTACAGCTTAAAATAAACAGTTCAATATTTGAAATTTTTCTCATGCTCAGACCTTCGCGCTATATACTGATCGACAGGAGCGCGTGGGCTTGGGTATACAAGGTTCTTGTAGCAAAATGGCGGCCTTCGCAACATCAGTACAAAAAATATCACCGATATGGTGGAAAAACCGCCCCCATCCCCCCAAAAAATACTATTAAAAAATTAAAAAACGAGTAAAAATTTAAAAAATCCCGCCCTCCTGCCTCTGAAAATTTGTGAGAGTGTGACGCTAACCAAGTATAATTTTTTTATTTGGCCTTATCGTACATACAAATTTGATGATAAAGTCATTTAGTCTTTACGGATGAGCATTGTTTTGGTTTCATATCTAATTGCATATGTTATCAGATGTGAATTGGTCTGTGAAAATTTTGAGAATTTTTGAAGAGTATCGAGGCGTAGACCAGCGCTAGCGGTTGAGTTCTCTCCCAACTTCCCAAGTGCTCAATAACTCGATTAGGCACGCCAAATCATGAAAAAAAACCTTTTATTTTTCCTAACGCAAGCAAAATACTAAAAGTTAAACGTTTCTGACTGGTCGCCAGAAAATTGGCTGCTTGGATATTGCAAACTTGCCACAACATTTAAATTATTAAATGTGAGTGGAGTTTCAAAAGCACATAATTCGGCAATACACCTTTTCGATAATTACGTCATGAATACGTTCTTGGCCTGGGAGCCTTGTTCTCATGAATCAAGACGGAAGACTCACGATTCATGAAAACGAGGCTCCCGGGTCAAGAACGTATTCATTACGTAGTTATCGAAAAGGCGTATTTTATTGACATGTTGGTGATACAAGGCTTCGTTTCTATTGGTAAAAAGGGAGCACACAATTATGGGTATTTGTTTTTAATTTTTTCAAAATTTGCGGCGTTCATTGGTCTGACCATTATATATTTTTTTCTTATTTTAAATTTGTCGATCTCATTCGTGGCAACCAATAATTCTGGCGTGATAGAAGCGTATCACGGATAGCACGCGTAAAACAATAGCGTTTCCAGACCCTGTCTTCTGGTTCTGGATTGCACCTCGTAAGTGTCGCCTCCATATAACAATGCTTATCTTTATTTACTTCGATCAAATTACAGAGTTCTTAACGTTAACACAGGACTTAAACTAAAAGACTGGGTCCTAGCCCCTGCAAGTATCTTGGTCCGCCCCTACGCTTCGTCTTTTTGCTTCGCTCATCGTGGAAAAGAGAATATGGACAGTATGTCGGAGGAGAAAAGACTCAAATAACGATGAAAGCACGCGGAACTGTGTGCTCAGCCAAACTGTTAAAAATATAAGGTGCAAAGCGAAGGCCAAGTGGTAAAGCAAGATCAATAAATTAATGTTCGCGCCATTTCATGCCCAACAGATATAGTAATCATTAATCATCTGAATGAGTTGGTACGATACGATACGCCTTCTTAATGCCAACTTTAACCATTAAAGCGCCTTTACCGATTTTCACAATTAATCTAATGGCGTCTTCAACTTTAGAATAACACACAGAAAATTTGCTTGAGGGATTCCGTATTGGGTTCCACTCTAATTCAGTAAAATTAAAGTCTGCCTCTAGTAATTGTCCGTCCTCAGCTGAACATTCTGCCTTTATCGATGATTATTTAACCACCGAAATCCACGCTGGCAGAGTTTTTGGCCCACTGAAAACCCCACTAATCTTAGATTTGTCATATCCTCTCGGTGCGACACAGAGGACCCTTCATTCCACGACATACAAAACTAGGGACTACTCGGGTTCCCAATAGGCAATTTCAGCTTTTAGTTTATGTGTGCAGGGGATGATGGGAAGTAAGGTATCATATTGCTGATTATGCTGAAAAAATAAAAATGTTGGCCGTGTAAACACGGAGTGATAGCTTATACTTGTAAATATTGAAATATTTCGGTTGTTTCGGCAGTTTTTATTGAAATTTTTCAGCATAATCAGCAATACGATACCTTACTTCCCATCATCCCCTGCACGCATAAACTAAAAGCTGGAATTGTCTATAGGTTCGGCATATGAGGCATCGTCCGGTTTAATCCAAAGTTAGCGCGACGAGAATTATAGACAATTGCGCATCAGGCGCGCGATTTATTGCTGCCGTGTGACGTTATAGTCCGTTGCATAACGCTCCAATCCTGCAGATTATTGACTTCGACTTCACGACGGAAGGCGCGATCATATTGCGACCAGGCTTTGCCGCCGAAAAGCTTGGCTGTGCGTATAGTATAATAAGCGCCATATACGCGAGTAGATTGCGTGCCCGGTGCGGCCGAAAAGTAACGATAACTGAAGCATAGCTATTGAAACAAACCCACGATAAATAAAATGTCCAAGTTTGACTTTCTTTCGCGGGAAGTTCTGGACACTGGGACGATAGTTGGACCTTCAATAGCAAAGATGGTAGTTTCCGGGAAGGGTTCGTCCATTCTCAGGGAGGAGCTCTGTTAGTTGAATGAACTTATGGGAGAGAATTCTCGAGACCAACTTAGGTGGAATTGGGGCACGACCGTGTCCCAAGTTGAAGGCTTTCCCTTGGCTTTCCCGGGACCAAGGTTGGGATTGGGAATAATGTTAGGGGCAGGAGTAGCGGAGGGGATGTTGTTGGTGGGGGTGAACACACTAAGCGATGGTTAAGGTTGAGGTCATTAACACAACCACTTATAGTACTGACAAAAGGAGCATGAAACTGGCATACCTTGAGTCACAGACAAGTGACCTTGTGCTGACGCCCTCGATGTAGTTGGTTGTGAGGGAATAGAATCACCAACTGCTCCAAATGTCGGGTCGAGGCGTACAATTAGCCTTTCTCACGCCTCCATTTTTGGGTGGCTTTTCAGCCGAAGTCTGCAAGATAAGTCCACATAACAAGGACTTTTTATAATTTTTTTGGACGAATGATGGTAATTTACTTTGTAAGTGGTTAGTTTATTTTGAAAAATTGCTTGTCACATTGTTTTAATTGCCTGCATTGGTTAACGAGAACTAGATGCCACCCAAAAATGGCGGATATTCGTCATCGTGAGAAAGGGTAATTGGCCATCAGCGAGCGCTGTCTGGAGGCCAAAGAGAAATTCCGTCGCTGCAGCCCAGTCGATAGGTGCGCCCGATGCGCCACTGGCAGATGGTTGTCATATCGCTTGAGTTTGTAGCCATCGTATCAAAATTCAACCTTCTCTAATGTGAACCAATTTCAAACTTTTCGCTTTATTTTGGATACGATCCGTACTCTTTGCGTGCCAAACAGCTATTGACCATATGTTGCGCGAGCAGCGCGTGCAACGCAAGCCACACCTCGACAGTGACACACAATTTCCGGATCATGCGTGATTTCACCAGCTACTTTCGTTAATAATATATAACCTCATGAAAACTATGACATCTTTAAATCTGAAAATGTTTTCAAAACTATCCATGATATTATCTATCTTCGATACGGCAATCACGGGTTTGAATTAAAGGGGCACTGTCATCAAAAATTTTATTTTCTTAAACAAAAATGCTTTTAAAACTGTATGGCAACTTGCTTTGAAGATTTTTGTTCCCATGCTTAGTTCTTGAGATATTTCATTTTGTTAATTGTAACCATGTGACGTCATTTACTCAATTACATATATAATGAGATATCAGTGATTGTTGTGTATCTTTGTTATTTTTTATCAAAATCTTTCGAAAGATGCGGCATTAACGCCATTAAGCATACTGTTTTTTTAACAAACCATCAAAAATAGCAAAGATACTTAGATACACAAGAATTACTGATATCTCATATATGTAATTGAGTAAATGACGTCACATGGTTATAAACAAAATGAAATATCTCAAGAACTAAGCATGGGAACAAAAATCTTCAAAGCAAGTTACCATACAGTTTTAAGAGCATTTTCGTTTAAGACAATAAGAATTTTGATGACAGTGCCCCTTTAATACATGTGCAGTTATATCACCCGTGATTGCCTACCTCCTCCGCAGGCCATGCAGCCCGTAATGAGTGTGCCCGTTCGCAGGTTGAAATTTGAGACGAAGGCTTGTGTAGCTCTCGAAAATAGATAATATCATGGATAGTTTTGAAAGCATTTTCAGATTTAATGATGTCATATATTCAATTGAATTCAATTTATTAAAAAGAAAATACATAAATGAAAAAAATACTATTCCCACAAATAGCGAAAGCTAATCGAAGGTGGAGATAGTGTATTTAATTATTTAACAACATTTGATATTTAACAAGATAACATTTCGATATAATTAGGAATAGAATATATAGAGATTGGAATTAAGATAATGAAACTACAGTCGAAACCTTGGGGTATATTTTATGGAATGTGTAAATCAATATAGATGTATGTTGAAGCCGAAATACTTTTAAAGAATCAAAACTCATCACTCATCAAAACGCTCTTTAGAAACTAATGAAAAAAGAAAATCAAAAGTAAAATTCATCAGACATAAAATCAAACAGACATTCTCTGTATAATCATTGGGATTTCAAGGTAGTCATCCACATCATGCAATAGTTTTCATGAGATTATATATTATTAACCAAAGTAGCTGGTGAAACCACGCGTGATCCGGAAATTGTTACTATACAGTTTTAAGAAACCAAAACAAGTTATTATACAGTTTTAAAAGCATTTTCGTTTAAGAGAATAAAAATTTTGATGACGTACAGTGCTTCTTTAAAAATTATTATGTTTAATGTCGAAATGTCGGAATATTGGCCAGCTCTTCTGTGATTTCATTAACACATGGGTTTTATCACAATATTAAGGGCAAAATGGCAGTCATCCAGTGACGTAGCCAGGGGGGGGGGCTAAAATGGCATTTTCAACTCTAGAATTTACAAATTTTCAAAATTTAAAAATGGATAGCGTGGGAATCCGAATACATTTTTACACAGCCTAGTCCCAGTCGTTCTGAAGCAAGCGCGAGAAAAAAGTGGATGTAGTACGAGACTGGGACCTAGGTGTGACGTCACCGCTCAAGGTGCTTCAGAACCTTCTCTCGCTGAAGCGTTCCGCACAGCACACCCAGGCATAAAACTTTTAAGACTTATTTAAATATATCAAAGCAGCGAATAGAGAGAGCCTGAGACTAGGCTGATTTTTACATACTATAAACAAACTTTATTAGAACTAGCGCTGGGTAAAATTGCTTGCAGGGCCGGCGCTAAAGGAGTGTGGGGGTGTAACACACTCCCAGTCGGCAAAACATGGATTTGGATACCGGAGGGGAAAAAATATTTGAATCACACCGATTAAAAATTAAGAATGATAGCTGTGGAGAAATATACGACAAAAATGGGGGAAAATGGAACGAAGAAGGAAGGTTAAACACAAAAGACGATTGGGAAATATGTTGTGGTTGTTTAACCCTCCCCCAGCTTGCTAAGAACTCGGCAAACTTTGCCTTGATAACTCGGCAAAATTAACTTACGAGCACACAGAATAAAGATCATGCAGTAACAGAAGCTAGGGCCACTCAGCGGTGCAACGTGTCCTCATTTTTTTATGCGAAAATATGCAGTTTACTGGCCAGAAGGCGGAGCAGCCAGCCAGTACAGTGTGTTTATTGGCCAGAAAATGTCATTGACTGGCTAGGAAAATGGCGGCGGCCCTTCTATATGGCCATATCTTTATTCTCTGTTACAAGTTCAAAGAGGTCGAACGTCGCCCCTGATTGCTTGGGGCCCTCCTGCGATTTACGAACAAAATAGAAGATTTTCAATGCGATTTGATTAAGGAAGTTTGAGATGAAAAACCTTTTATAAATGTTTGTGGTCGTTTGTAAAAAATGTGGACTTCATTTTTTAAGGATTCTTCAGTGGTGGGGCAAAACTGCAAAAGGGAAAGCGATCGGCGAAAGTGTGAGCCTAGTACCGCAGATACGAGTGGGAGTATGCCTCCCTCCCGGGAAATTTTTAATATTTGGGTCTCTGAAATAACATTTCTTGCATTCTGAAAACACATTTAAAAAAAGCTCAGTTTCTCAGAAGAAAGTTTTAATGGTGAAATTTGTAATAAATTGCATGCTAGACATTCAAACAGTGACAACATAAACTTCTTTTCAATGTTAAACTAATTTACTTAATACAGGTCCTAGGGTGTAGGGCCCTAACTTTGGGGCAATAGGCCATTTCTTTTTTCAGTGGTGGGGCAGAGGACGGGGCCCAGTGGGGCAAATGCCCCACCAGTCCATGGTATTACAGTGCAATGGACGTGTTGATAAAATATTGCACCAATTCCTTTCCTCAAGTTGATCAAATCATTTGATAGAATATTGATCAACTTCCTGTTTACTGGCATGCTTGTTCCCAATTGGTCAATCAGTCAATGAAACGTAAAGCCATTGGTTGATTCAAACACACAGGAAGTTGATCAATTTTTCAACGAATGAATTGATCAGTTCTAAGCACAGGCGGCCCAATCTTACCCTGTGTTATTAATTTATTACATTATATCTTTATATAATAGTATATTGAAAATCATTAGAAAATTCTGTGTTATTAATTTATTACCTTTATATCTTTTATATAATAGTATATTGAAAATCACTTACATGTGTTTCCTGAAAGATTTTAACGAGAACCGGCCAAGATTGGCGTTGACATGAGGCTAACGGCCATGGTTGGGGTTGACAAGAGGATAATCCTCATGTCAACCCCAACCATGGCCGCGTAACAGCAGTTAATCTCATATGTCAACGCCAATCTTCGCCAGTTCTCGTTAAAATCTTTCAGGAAACACATGCAAGTGATTTTCAATATACTATTATATAAAGAGGGTGGGAAAGGGTATTTTCGTGAGCCGTGAATGGTCAATATTTGTTCGCGTGAAATGTGAAATGCTTGATTTTAGTGTCGTGAAATGTGATTTGTTCTACAGCCGTGAGGCGTGATTGTTGATAAAAATGCTCCGTGAAATGAGAATTAAGGATGCATGTTTCGTGAACTGTGATTATTATAGTGATTATTATAATAAACACGATACGCGATAATCAAATTTATATGATCTCACTCGATTGCACAAGAGTAAAAACTTCGGAAGCTTTTCGCGAGGTTCCTGACGTTGAGGACAAGGTTCCTGACGCTGAGGACAAAGTTCCTGACGCTGAGGACAATGTTCATGACGCTGAGAAAAAGGTTCCTGACGCTGAGGACAAGGTTCCTGACGCTGAGAACAAGGTTCCTGGCGCTGAGGACAAGGTTCCTGGCGGTGAAGACAAGCTTCCTGGCGGTGAGGACAAGGTTCTTGGCGGTGAGAACAAGGTTACTGGCGGTGAGGGCAAGGTTCCTGGCGGTGAGGACAAGGTTCCTGGCGGTGAGGACAAGCTTCCTGGCGGTGAGGACAAGGTTCCTGGCGGTGAGGACAAGGTTCGTGGCCGTGAGGAAAAGGTTTGTGGCGGTGAGGACAAGGTTTCTGGCGGTGAGGACAAGGTTCCTGACGCTGAGTACGAGGTTCCTGGCGGTCAGGACAAGTTTCCTGGCGGTTCAGGACAGGGTTCCTGGTGGTGAGGACAAGGTTCCTGGCGGTGAGGAAAAGGTTCGTGGCGGTGAGGACAAGGTTTCTGGCGGTGAGGACAAGGTTCCTGGCGGTCAGGACAAGTTTCCTGGCGATGAGGACAAGGTTCGTGGTGGTGAGGACAAGGTTCCTGGCGGTGAGGACAAGGTTCCTGGCGGTGAAGACAAGGTTCCTGGCGGTGAGATCAAGGTTCCTGGCGCTGAGGACAAGGTTCCTGGCGCTGAGGACACGCACTCAAACTTGTAAGTTATTATGTAGTTTTTAACTGACAGGTAGAGAAATGAGAGAACTTAAACCGTAGATACTGTGCCATGCATTAAACATAGTCTTAATAAACCTATTATTATCATATTCATAGGCGTACGGGGCGGGGGGGGGGGCAGCTGCCCCCCAAAATGATTACAAAGTCGAAAAGTCGGGCAAATGTTCAACATAAGTCCGGCGAAGAGTGGGAAATAAAAAGCCAAAAAAGTAGTCAAAGCAATAAAATCTCTTTTAATAATAATCCAAGTTTGTTGGGCAAACAAAGCCAGTTGGGCAATATTCGGTTCACAGTCGAGCAATATTGTGTTATTATAAAAATAAATGGGACAAATTCTGTCAATTTTGCGGGAAATTATGTCAATTTTGTGATGTTTGGAAGATTTGTTTGATGTTCCGAAAAATTTTGGTATGTCCGAAAAATTTTTTTGACCCCTAAAATGGTAGACTGACCGATAAAATGGTAGACTGACCATTTCGGCACTGGTCGGGCACAATCCGAAAAAGTCGGGCAAATTTCTTTCCGCCCCCCTATTTTTTTCCTTCCGGTACGCCCTAGCCTGCGAACAGGCCCTGGGTTACGGGCGGCGCGAGTACGCCCATGATTATATTATTTGATGAGAATCTAGTTTTCCTTGAAATTGCTTTTTTAAGACGCGTGAAGCGTGAAACGGATTTTTTTTTCGTTGTGAAACGTGATCCATATCCCCCCCCCCCTTCCCACCCTCTATAAAGATTTAACGTAATAAATTAATAACACAGGATTTTCTAATGATTTTCAATATACTATTGGTATTATATAAAGATCGTATAACGTAATAAATTAATAACACAGGGTAAGATTGGGCCGCCTGTGTTCTAAGTAATGAATTAATGCGATATTTTATCAACACTTCCATTGGAACGACAGTAAAAAATGCCTTGAATTGTACGTTTCAAGCGTTTTCATGGAGAGCATCAATATATGCTGAAACATGAACGTTTCACGTGAGACGAGACATTGTTTTATCTGTGACTCCATATATTCGATGTAACCGAATATATGGATAAACAGTCACAACATGTCATTTCGGATGGATTTATAATACCTTATAATAATTAGCAAGATAAAATATTAAATGCAACCGACGGTTTGCATGTCAATTTACCTTAGGAGAAAGTAACATAAAGTATCAGTAAATTTTGGCCCCACGTAACACTGACCAACAGAAATTCCAACTGCAGGCTCTTATCTCCCCCAGTCCGCCGAACCGCGAATCTAGTTCATGAAAACTTTCATTCCATTTCCACTTTGGACTTCTTGTTCATTTTGTTTGCTTTTGTATTGTGTTCATTTGTTGTTTTATTAAGAAAGACTTCTTGTAGGCGAGGATGTCTGCGTCGCCATATCACATCTCGTCCTTATTGGACAAGGTAGGGCACATGAAATTGCAAGTAACAGTGTTAAAATAATTTTGGCAGGCTGATCGACAGTCTATAAAAGACTATAAACTGTATATTAAAAAAATGCATGACCGTATTTCCATGTGTCAGTACAAATGTTTATGTTTTCACTTAGTTAGAAATATTACTGTTATTTTATTGGTTTGGGTAAATAAGAATTGTTTGTTAGCTTTACAGTTTACAGCAACACCAGTAGCCAACTGGAAAGTTTTGAAATTGTGCACCCAAGATTTGAAAATTTTAATAGTATAAATATATAGAAAGCATCAAAATTGTATGCCCGATATCTCGGTTGCGACATACTACTTCTGCACTGGATCGGTAGTGCTTAAATATGAGGCAATGTGATGGTTATCTGTGCTTAGTGGCAAATTGGGTCATTCCAGAAAACATCTATACCACAGAGTAGAGACATACAGAGACGTAACTGACCGTCATAAACAATGCAGAAGATTATGTTATCATGTACCCACTTTTTTTCAGGCGACCGGGCAAAAAATGATCAACTGCGCGTGCTCAGCAAGTTTAAAGTGAGTCATCATCAGGTCGTCATCCAATCAGATGCATGCATCTAGTAACTTGCCGAGCATGCACACAAAAAAAGTGGGTACACTAGTTACGACTCTGTATGTCTCTACTCTGTGATCCATACCACTCCCACAGAGGAAATAGAAAGTTAACCCCCCTACCCCTTTCGGATGTCCTAATACATTTACTATTACAGACCTCTCAACTTTGCAGAGAAGTTAAGAGTGAGATTGGGGATGTAGAGACACCTTTGTAATTAAAAGAACGGGGGTCTGAAATGGCATTTCGTATATTATGAGAGTTGGTGTTTTTTAATGAAATATGTTGCTTCATAACATCCTTTAAAGACAAGCCACTTTAGTTATAATAACTGTATTTCTGTGACATACAGTAATGAGCTTTAATTTGCCTTGGATAATTTACATATAGAATTCTGCTCCAACTGATTCTGCCTTTTGTCCGCCGTATTTACATATACGGCAAAATGTCGGGCCGTATATATGCGGGGACAATAACACAAGATTATATATTCGATTCGCAATCCTTATAATGATTAATAATGTGCATTTAAGAATACAATATTATATTATTGAAAAAAATACTATGAAACTGCTATACTGTATGTGTGAGATTTACTAAACGTGGCATGAGAGCGTGAGAGTGAAGCAAATTGCATGAGACTCACGCCGAATGCGTGAGAGTTGAGAGGTCTGCTATTATCAGAAACAATTTTTTCTCCCCTCCCCCTCCGGACGGCAGAAATTTCCTCCGTGGGGGGAGTATGGATCGTTTCTGGAACGACCCATTACCTTGCAGTTACAGGGCCTGTAGGCTAGAGGTAAAATACTGGCATTCATGAGGATGATATTCCCACGCAAGTTCTGCTGATGTACAACCTGGTCTTGACACCTTCTATTGGTCAGCTCGTACATTAAAAATATTGTGTTTTTTTGGCAGATGACATCAAACGATAAAGATTTTCGTTTTATGGCAATTAACGATTTGATGGCTGAACTTCAGAAAGATTCGATCAAGCTGGATGATGAAAGCGAGCGCAGGGTAAACTGTTTGACTTAAAAATAATAGACATTTTTTGGCCTAACAAAACATTCTGCACATAGTTCCCATTTCCTGACCTATAGATTCTATCTTTTCTTGTAATATTTATCATAATTATTTGCCAAGGTTGTCCATATGCTTTTGAAACTTTTGGAAGATAAGAATGGTGAAGTCCAGAATCTTACTGTGAAATGGTAAGGACGGTATGACATTTGTTAATCAACAGGGCTGTAGACAGAATTTTTTTACAAGGGGACGATAATACCTAGTACTCATGTATATTCAGAAATAAGTACCCAAATTTCATTGCATTCAAAGTCATCAGTTAGATACATACTTATGGCTGCCCCATACAGCGTTACACATTCTGATTCACAAAATTATAAGCACCATTTGGTTAGAAATTTATATAATCACAATTGAAACTTATAAAAGTCTGGTACGTACCAAATATCACAACCAATTTTTTTTAGATTTTTAGATTAGTTTTATTTACCCACAAATAATATTTACAAGTTGAATATTTAAGATATTATATAAACGGGCTAGAGACCTCTGGAAATCCTGTTGGACTTTTGAGACGAGGCCCCTATAGTTTTAGTGTTCATGCAGTAATATAAAAATAGATTATGTGCATAAGGTGGGATCCCACCGTGGCCGGGCATATTTTTCAAGCTCGCCCGGTGTGGATATACACTCAGAGTCAGTGGCGTGCTGGCAGGGGGGGCCGGGGGGCCACGGCCCCCCCAGCTGGCAATTATTGGGGGGCGCAAAAATGAAAAGGGGGCGCCGTCCCGTGCGGAATTTTGTAAGTGGGTGGGAAAAAACGCATTTGAAAAAATATAGTTACTTCCGTCAAGAAGTATATATTTATATAGGCTTATAAACAGATCGAGACTGAGCGCATAGACGACAAAGTGATATATTAAATTACAGACTATTTGGTCTAACCTTATTTGCTAATTTGCTACTTCACGGCTCACACAAAATCGTTCATATAGAAACATGATCAGTGATCACACACAATGTCTCATTACACAATGTCTCATATGCCCTTTTTTGCTGGTATTATGCCCTTATATTATGAAGGTATTATGCTTCACGAATCACGAGAGCGGCGCAAATTAGATAGTTATGATAATGTAAGTTGTGTAGGCAATTTAGTTGTTTGTGCAAGAAACATCATGACTCATGAGTAATGTAAGTAAAGATAATGCTGAAAAGCGCCCTTTTGGCAGCCAAGCAAGGTAACCTTAAAGTGCATATGCGTGTGGTCCTTGTGTTATTGTATAAAAGAGCTGTATGTTGTAAATGTATTCAGATCACCAGATCAGTAGAGAATGGAATTGGGATTAGATTAATCGCTGGAACTGAGTTAGCATTGCCCAATATAAGAACAACTACTATATATAATTCTAACCAAATTGCAAATTTCAACACGTTATAATGCCGTTTCCTGACCATCAGATTTCTGTCAAACCTTCCCCCCAAAGTCCAGGAAATGGCATTTCAGAGACCCTAAATTCAAAAATTTTCCGAGGGGCATGCCCCCGGACCCCCTAGAGAAACCTCGCACCTGCGGCGCTCGGCTCGTGCCTTCGACACTCGTTTATCAAGCATTACAATATAGGGGCGCATATTAGTTGAAAGCCAACTGGCCCCCCCCAGAAAATTAGTACCCAGCACGCCACTGCTCAGAGTAACACCACAAATATCATATTCACCTGAGTACACTACACCGACACAGAGATATGGAAAATGTTAAGGAATATTTAGTACATTACAGAATACTGTCATTAATATTCCTGAAATATTTACATCAACTAGACATCAAGTATCAAGTAATAGGATTTTGCAGTTTTCTTAAAAGAAAAATATGATTTAATATTTTTAATTTCTTCATCAAAGCAATTCCATATAGAAACTGCTTTGTTAAATACAGTGTATTTGCGATAGTTTGTTCTCTTATAGCTCACATGTAACTTGGTAGAATTTTGCGTATTATAGTTGTGTAGTTCGTTATTTTATTTGAATTAATCATTATAGAAGTCCGGCAAATTTTGACAATAATTGAAGCGATACATGAATATAAGCTGCATAGATAATCGTTATAATTTTATAGATATCCAAGATTTTCAATTGTAAAAATATTGGTTCAGAATGATCCATATAAGATTTAAAACAGATTAGTCGTACAATTTTCTTTTGCACATTTAGTAACTTTTGTAACCTTGTTGGGTATATGTTACATAACTGTGTCATTTTTAAGTTTAATTTAACAATGTAGCAAGCAATATACAGTGTATGATTCTGTACAGTGCATGCCAATGATGCCACAACATATTCATTTTATACAATCTGGTTTGTTCTGTGTAGGATTCCTTACAGCTATATTGATAAAAAAATTTAAACCAGAATTTTGATCTGGTTATAACTGTACATTAATTAAACAACAACGCTAATCGATATGCTTAATTAATTGATTGTCTTAGAAAATGTGACTACTGTCTATCAAATGCACAACTCAGGACTCTTTATTTATTTCATCAAGTGACGCATGCTTTTAAAAGCATAAGGAACTGGTCATAATTTAGCAGGAGAGGTGGGGAGGTGGAAACAGTGGGGGGGGGGGGGGGG